CTGCTGCGCCTCGGAGGCCCCCTCGCCTACATCTCCTACCTGCTACTCGTCGCCGCAGCAGCAGCAGCAGAGGATCTGTACTGCAGCAACGTGCTGAGAGAGCAGCGGCTGCTGTCGGTATTGCATGAGCAGCAGCAGCTGCTGCAGCAGCGGCTGCAGCAGCAGCAGCACCTGCTGCGTCACCAGAGGCTCGCTATTCAGCAGCAGCAGCAGCTGCTGCTGCTGCTGCGGCACAACAGCAGCAGCAGCAGCGCCCCCAAACAAGCCCTGCAGCAAGCATCAGCTCGTCAGCCTTATATTGCAGAGCAGTTGCAGCAGCAGCAGCAGCAGCAGCAGCAGCAGCAGATGCTGCTGCGGCAGCACCAGCTGCTGCGGCAGCAACTACTAAGAGAACAGCGTTTGAAGCAGCAGCAGCTGCAAAGGACTTGGTGCCGCCGTCTCATCGAGCAGCAGCAGCAGCAGCAGCAGCAGCAGCAGCAGCAGCAGCAGCAGTTGTTGCAGCAGCACCACCACCATATGCAGGATCACCAGCAGCAGCAGCAGCAGCAGCAGCAGCAGGTGCTGCAGCCAGGCTGTTTAGGGCTGCTTGGTGCAGCAGGTGCGAGCCACATGGGGGTGGCAGAAGCAGCAGCAGCAGCAGCAACAGCAGCAGCAGCAACAGCAGCAGCAACAGCAGCAGCAGCGGAGACGAACGCCCCATATATGCGAGCGTCACCGTCAACACACTGCGGGATGTAGCCGCAGAAACAGCAAGAGCAGCAGCAGCAGCAGCTGCTGCAGCAGCTGCAGCAGCAGCAGCAGCAGCAGCAGCAGCAGCAGCAGCTGCAGCAGCAGCAGATTTTAGATTTAATAACGAGACGCCTGATTGCTGCAGTTGTGTCTTGCCTAGACCAAATGCTGCAGCAGCTGCTGCAGCAGCTGCTGCAGCAGGAGGCGACAGCAGAAGCTGCTGCTGTTGCCATAGTTCAACAGGAGCAGCAAGCAGAGCAGCAGCAGCAGCAGCAGCTGCTGCTGCTGCTGCTGCTGCTGCTGCTGTCCACACTTCAGT